TTCCCACTTTACCTTTTCTTTTTGTTGCAGTGCAATATGGTCCGCGTTTCTTCTTCAAAAGTGTCAGAAGTGTGTGGGATGAGGTCTAAGGTGAATAGTGCAATTTGTAACTTGGCGTGTGCGTTGTGACCACTGCTTCTATTGCCATTGACTCCAAATTGACCACCACCGCCTCCATCTTCGCTGCAACGGCTGTCACCTCATTCATTTGACGTGCTGCCTACGCATTGCCAGGTCTTATTTGGGTGTCGCCGCTGCCATCCACTTTGCCAACCTGGTCTTTTCAACACCTTTGCCAATACAGTATTTGTGCAATCATGCATAAATTTGGGCCAAGTCATTACTGCCATCCTAGACGGTACTTGTGTGCTGGGGAATGGTGATTGTTAAAGGCTGCCTACAAGCAACACCAGTTTCATGAGGAATGACTTCGATTTGATCACTAACGTGGCTTTCAAACGATGCTGTTTGCTGACTTCTACTGTTGTTGTTGTTGTTGTGTATGCACAAATGGGCACATTCTCGCATCACTTTACCAGCATGCGGAATGGAGTGATCTTGCCCTTTCCATCACATTTACCGCAATATTGGCCAGGAAGACGAAGTGCTCTAGGTCAATGTGTTTCCATATGTCTTGTGGGTAAATTGCAGTGGAATTTATGAGCATAATCATTCCTGTGAGAAATGCTGGTTGTACCTGCTCTGTACAGCCAAAAAGTGGTTCAGTTGGTATTGTCGCATTGGTGACGTACATTTTGGCATTTGTTACGAATGGGCATGCATTGGTAGCGGTGAACATACGGCAGAGGCGACATTGCGGGTTGCAGATATCTAAGCAATTTGCCATCCAAATACAGTCTACGAGTCGAGGTGGTACTCGCATATCCAATTGGGCTCATATTACAAACGAGCACCAATCGCAGGTGGTCGTGGATATTATTGAAGGGGAATTAGAAGGTGTTGGAAACAGGTCGTGAAACTGGTGCCAATGACGACATTTGTGGTTTTCTTGCTGGTATCACTGCCCTGTTTTGCCTTCGTAGGAAATGCACGAACCGTGGAAGTAGTAAAAGATGAAGATGATGGAAAGGTTGATCAAGCCAGTGCAAGTGGCGTAAGTGGAATGGAAGAGGGTAAGAATGAATATGAAGAAGCCATTGGTGGCAGTGACGGTGGTGGTGGTGGGAGAGGTGGCAGAGGCGGTGACAGTGGTAGGAGTGATGGCAGGGTTTGTGACGGTGGCAGAGGCGGTGATGGAAGAGGTGGGAACGGTGGCGGCAGCAGTGGCAGGGACGAAGGCATTGCCAGTAGAGGCCGTGGTGTTGATGAAAATCGCCATCAAAGCGGGACTAGTGACAATGGCACCAACGAGAATCCACATCCGACAATTTCCTCTGCAGTCTTCAATTCATCCTTCTTCCCTACCTGTCTCAACACTGTCTTCCTTCTTCTCTTTCATTATATCTGAGGAATATTGCCATCCCCATGGGTCATGGCTTCAACCCCATTCAAAATACACAAATCGTAGCAGATGTACACTGTAAGGTTTCTCTGTGTTGTGTTTTTTGCTTCACAGTATGAAGGCAAGTGCCCTCCACTACGCAGTTGTTAGAGAACATGGAAGTGGTTAGACGGCAGCATCAACAACTTTTATAACAAAATGTTTGCTATCATGGTTAGGCTGAATCTCATGTCATTCTGAACGATGTGTGCTTAAGCACATTTGTTCCCCTCATTCGCCCACTAATAAATTTACTGTCACACGAAAAGTGTTTTGGTTTGGACACTCTCTGCAGGTATGCGGGCTATTGTGCTGTCAGGTTTGGTGCTGCTGTATCGCCAACATAAACGTGGAAGTGCTTTCATCAAATCATTGACATAAGGAATAGAGCGAACCCACATTTTCTGTTCCAACCATAGAAGGAACCCTATAAAACCCTTCTTTTCTTTCTCGTCACCACTGCCACAGCC